TATTCATTCGATTTTTACCCCGCCCCTCTAGACAATGTCTACAGTACAATACATTGTGGCCACCCATGCTGCATGTCGTGTCCATTTCCTGTGGCTACCCATGCTGTACGGTGTGTCCATTTTTCTAGTCTGGGACAAACATGGAATACATTTAGCTCAGTAGGTAACTGGAGCTCTATCTCCAAATCGGAATTTCCTTCAGGAGTGTTTTTTGTCTGTTTGTTTGTTTGTTTTTGATCCCCCAGAATCAATGTGTCTCTCAGCAGAAAATTGCCAGTGGATATCTCGTGCTCTGGCATTTTTAGAAATTTAATCATTGTAATGATGTACAAACATTTCTCTCTCTCTCTCTCTCTCTCTGATCTCATCTCGCCAATAAATCCATTTAGACTTTCCCCCGCATTTTATTATTTTCCTTTCCCCTGACTGTGTGCTATGACTCAAGGGCTGACACTTAACTCAGTTTGGCAAGGCTTCTAATGGATGAGTTCTAATGCTGGCCTCACTGAATCATCCCCCTTGCCAGGCAATAATCAAGTTTCTTAGACTCCGTGCACTGCTTAAGAATTTTAATGAATGCAAGCCTGGTCTCTTGAAATACTCAAGTAGTTAATTAACTGAGAGCTGGTACAAGTGCACCTCAGAACTTCATCATCTTGTTTTTCTTTTTACGCACTTTAAAATTGGATGTAAGTTCCTAGTCTATTCCTTGCAAATCTTCATCTGAAGTCTTCAACTCGAAATCTTCAATTTATTCCCCAAGCACCTTTCAGTATGAAATTATTGCTTCTCCTTTAATAGTTAAAGCTTATATTCCACCTTTCCTCCAACGAGCTGCACAGATAGTAGCATGCATGGCTCTCCTCCTTCCCTTTTCATCCTGTCAACAAACCTGTGAGGTGGGTCAGGCTTAAGGGAACGTGACTAGGCCAAAGTCGTCCAGTGAGTTTCATTAAAGCATTGAAATATTATATTAGAGTTATGTAGCACATTAACGCTAAACGTTAGAAGAACAAGTAAAGCAATACATGTAGTCTTTTAAAAATAACACTTTGAAGGTCACATGAAAACATTCCTTTCAAAGCATTATTTGCAGGAAGTTGGATGGATCAGGTTCCTTGTCCTCCTGTGTAATGCAAAAGTAACAATTTGAACATCAGTGCATTTCCATGCTTTGAGTGTCATGGCTCTGTGACACCTAGAGCCTCAATATTTCACCACCCACTCCAACACTTAAACTAATGTAGCACCAGGATGACAGTATGTTGGCTGCTAAGGCTGAAGGCTGAAAGTCCCAGGGCACTCACTGCTGCTGGTGTCCACCTCCCTCTTAAAAACAAGTCTTAAAAAGAAGAAGAAGGTTGGTGGACTTAAGGGGACCCCTAAGGTCCCCAGTGCAAAAGCTGCCACCTCTGGAGGTGTCTAGTAGCCAAAATAGGGGTGAAAATAACCAAAATATATATTTTAATAAATGGCAGGGGGAGCTCTGCCTTGGTATTGGGTAGCTTTGAGAGCCTCAAAAATACCCCTGAAAGGCTGCAGTTTGTAAAGCCCTGGTCTAGGAGGGCATTTGTCAGTGGATATGGGTGGCAGAAGTGGATATGGATGGGGGAAGGATTAAGTACTGTTTGCTTCTGCTTTTCCCTTATAAATATCTCTGGCTTAGTCTGGCAAAGGAAACATGCTGTTCAAAGAATGCTGAGTCCTTTTTTTTAAATTCCGTGATTCTAATAATGATTTGCTTCTGCAGGAAGCCTATATTGCTGACTTAGATGCCAAGAGTGGAGCCAGCTTGAAGTTGACTATTTTGAATCCCAAGGGCAGAATTTGGACAATGGTTGCTGGAGGTGGTGCGTCTGTGGTATACAGGTACGAAGCACAGGGATCATGTGGCAGTCATATGGTGGATGGCGGAGTGTGATCCACTATAGCAGGGGGAGAAAACGTATTTCCCTTCTATGTGTCAGAACATCAGCTGGGTGTTCTCTTGTTCAGGGAAACACTGTGTGTTCTGCATCTCCAGCCATCCATGTTTTGAGTCATCATCATTACACACTATTTTTTGCCCAGCGACTCTCTCTTGTTAACTGTAGTTGAAAGGGAAAATTAAGACAGGGACTGGAGAAATGCGTAGGAGTAGGAGTAGGAGTAGAAGTAAGATGATGATGATGATGATGATGATGATGATGATGATGATGATGTTGGATTATTTGCCATCCCTGAACTGGAATCTGAGGCTGGACTTAGGTAGTGTGAAGTTTGTGTTTTGCTGTTGGCCTTGTACCACAGAGCACTTGGTCTGTATTTACACCTCTGACAACATAGACTGTACAACACACAGCGATGAGGAAGTCCGCATTTGGGGGAATCTATTCTTTTTTTTAATTGCTTTCTGAAGACATGCTTGTTGTCCTCACTGTTGTAACAAATAAATGTGAATGAGAGGTATTAAAAGTTTATGCTTGAAACATTTCAGCTGGGCTCAGTACCCTGTGTGAATCCGTATTCAAATGTTTCGGACTGTGATTCTGCCACAGTTGTCTTTCAACTTGTCATAGTACACGAGAAATCATGCTTAGCTTGGTTACAGACACTGCAGCAGAAATTCTTACAGAGCAATAGTCTGAATATATTGAGTGCAAAATAAACGGATATGTATGCATGTACTTTAATTCTCCCAGATTCTAGCCCAGTGGTTCTTATTTCTGGTATTCCAGATGTTTTCATTTTCAGCTCTCAGGAGCCCAGCCAGCATGGTCAGGGGTCAGGGATTTGGAGAGCTGAAGTCTAAAACATCTGGAAGGTTGAAGTTTGAGAACCATAAATTTCTTTCTAATCAGTGTGGCTGTTGTCTCTCTGCAAGTTGCAACCTACCCATGTCCAGCTGTTGGCTGAGCTGCTGTGTTGCCATGGAGTGCTTGTGAACTTTTAAGCTCTGATGGCAGAATTTTCTGACTCTTCAGAACTGTTCTGCCACAATGTGTATTAAATCCACTGCTCTGCTCTTCACTCTTGGTAATAAGAGTAGAATGCAACTTCGCCCTGCCTTCATGAGAGCCCATGAACAACCTTGCCTGTACAGATTAAGCTTTTTAATATCACTTGTGTGCCTTCTCAGTGATACCATCTGTGACCTTGGTGGAGTAGATGAACTGGCTAATTATGGCGAATACTCTGGAGCACCAAGTGAGCAACAGACCTATGACTATGCCAAGACCATCCTCTCTCTCATGACACGGGAGAAGCATGCAGAAGGTAAAGGAGGGTGTCTAGGCAAAAGAAAAAGATATGGGAGCCGGTCTATGTATTTTCTTGTTGATCCATGTTATTAAGTTTTATTTGAGAATCACCATTGTTCTAATCCTCATAAATAGACTAGTTGCTGACATCCAGAAATGACATTAGGAGTGAGTTCAGAACAACCATGAGAATATGCAGAAATAGACTAACTGCCTGGGCTGGAAGGATTTGGAGAGGGGAAAAACATGATGGGAAGCAAAAAGAAGCAGATAATTTTTTTAAAAAAAGCAGACAGGAAGGGAGACATATAGCAATGAGAGGAAAGGAAAAAAAGAGAGGAAAAAAGGAAGAATTAGCAAAAGGGGAGAAAAGAGAAGGGCCCAGTTTCTGACCTAGAACTAGGAAAACAAGGGAAAGAGCATTGGCCTCCCAGCCCAATAACCAGCGACCTGAACTTGGGAGGTCCTCTTCTTTGATCAGATCCCATAGGACCTGACAATCTTCTCCTGGCCCTTATTAGCAGGCTGGCGAAGCATTTGTGTGGCCTGCACTGCTTGAGTGGAACTTGGGTATCTGAATGATAACTGATTTGTTTGGAGGAGCTATAGGGAATGGCACCCATTTCCCAAGGCAGGGATTCTTAAATTGGTGATACCAAGTAACAGGTTTTATGCTTTAACTGCCACAGCCCAGATGGGTCCTAGTGCCACAAGAGATCTAAATGCACTGAGAATTCATGCCAGTAACCATTGTATGTAAATTGCTTAAAAATGAACTACAAGTGTACTGGAGGATCTTTCTCCCTTTCAGCCACTTTTTAAATGGTCTAGGATATTTCTGATACTGTACTTCTTACAAAACTGCTCATTCTCTTTTTCTCTCTCTTTTTACCTCCACAAGGAAAAATCCTCATCATCGGAGGGAGCATTGCTAATTTTACTAATGTAGCTGCAACATTTAAGGTAAAGATAGCCCTGAAAAAATACCTGGTAATAGCCATGCCCGTTTGTATTGTTAGCTGTCTTGGAAGAAACAACTTTCTCATGAGGCTACTATGTGGAATTTTAAGTGGATTGAATTAGTTTATACCAGTTGCCTCTGTGCCGGTGCCATAGAAACTCACGTTTTCTCCAGGGCAAAAGTTGCATTAATACAAAGACCAAAGGTAGGGCTGAGATAAAACATAGCCAATGTAGAGAATATGATTTAGCAGGCAAAATAGCAGTAATGTGAGGTAACAATAGCTTGAAGACTTTCTGGGCCGATCAGAATACAGAACAACAGGCAATCCTTTAACTAGAGGTTAGAAAATTGGTTTTTTTGGACACAACTTCCTGAATCTCACTGCAGGGGTCACACAGACAGGGCGATTTGGGGAGTTGCAGTTGTAGTTCAAAAAGCAGCTTTTCTAAGCACTGCCCTGAGCTAGAGCTAAGTCGTATGGTGTTAAAAAGACTCTCATCCTCTTTGGGTTCTTCCAAGCCAACAGTCAAATTTGAGGGAAGAGTCTTTCATGAAAATCTTTTGACTGTTTCCAGTTCAAAATTTTAAAAACTTATCCGGAAAGAATTCAGAAAAGGCTGTGTAGTTCATGAAGTTTTAAAATTCTAACCAGTTTTACTGCACTATCCATGGAGGGGTGGTGATCAGCCTGAAGAAGTGAGATTTACTCATGAAAGCTTGCAATTTGTATGATTTTTTTAGTGGTTCAATAAAGGTATCACCTTAGTCTTGCATTAGGGACGTGGTGGCGCTGCGAGTTAAACCACAGAAGACTCTGTGCTGCAAGGTCAAAGACCAGCAGTCGTAAGATCCAATCCACGCGACGGAGTGAACTCCCGTTGCTTGTCCCAGCTCCTGCCAACCTAGCAGTTCGAAAGCATGTAAAAATGTGAGTAGATAAATAGGTACCACCTCGGTGGAAAGGTAACGGCATTCCATGTCTAGTCGCGCTGGCCACGTGACCACGGAAACTGTCTTTGGACAAACGCTGGCTCTATGGCTTGGAAACAGGGATGAGCACCGCCCCCTAGAGTCGGAGATGACTGAACAAATTGTCAAGGGGAACTTTTAACTTTACATTAGTCTTGCATTAAACATTTATATATATGAATTCCATGAGCATAAGAGCAGGGTGGCTTTGATTTAAATTTAAAAATCTGATTTTTAAATGATTTGAATAAAAATGATTTTTTACATTTAAATTGTGATTTGAATAATGATTTAAATCAATTAGATTTTTAAAAATGAATAATGATTTATATCAATTAGGTTTTTAAAAAAATCATTGATTTTTATCCACCCTACATAAGAGTAGGCCAGAAGGAAAGCATTCAGTATTATGCACAATAGATATACAATTTTCGTTCAATTTCTTGGGAAGGGTAAAAATCAAAGAGACTCTAATATGCATCTATTTGCCAGTTTAGGTAGGAGTGTTGATTTAGACAATGAAGTGTTAAAAAACCAGGTGGGAAAGTACTTGTCTAGCTCAGCCAGCTCTGTTCCTTAGAACTTTGAGGAAGCAGAATGGTGATAATTCTCGGCCTAATTACATGGTTAGAGGCTATGGGCTACCTGTAAGTGTGGTTGGACTTTCAACCTTATCAACTCCCACCAGCTTGGCCAATAGGGGTTACAAGAGTAGTAGTTTAACAACAGCTGGAGGACAAGAAGCTGCTTCGACCCTGCTATAAAAATAGGTTCCCTGGATTAAAATAGAATAGTTGACTTCTGGACAAATACAGACTTTATGTCTTTCAAATACCCAGGTTTTCAGTGGAGATTCTCTTTTTCTAAGGGCATGACACTTCTACCAATAAGGGTACTGTCACAATTATAGCCTCTGACAGCAGCCACCTTAGAATTAACATTCTGGAAGACTTCTGAGACTCCTGTTTATGCATCTTATCAGCACAGAACTGCAGTTTCTAAAGTTCCAGTGGAGTCCTAGAAGGAAGCAGATCCTGGCAGCTAAAACAAATTTTAAGTTTATCTTTTAGGCAGACTCTTAGAGGGAAGCAATAGTGAAATACAATGGGCAGAATGGAAGATGATTGAACATTTAGAGGTTTGTGCAAAGCCTAGAAATGCATTAACATTTAAATAGCTGCTTTTACATTAAACAGGAGAACAAGCAAACTGATGTGCTTAATAATCTAAAAATAGCATTTTGAAAGCAATGTTGAAAAGGTACTTCCAAGAAAAATTTTTTAGAAGGTTAGATGCATTGGCTTGCATGTCCTCCTGCCTAACACAAAGGTAATGATTTTTAATGTGCTAATGATTTTTATTTCCAAGCTCTCTCGCACTCTCTCTCTCCATGTGTGTGTGAGAGAGATAGTGGGAGGGATTTGTTATTCTTTCTTTCTTTTTTGCAGGGCATTGTTAGGGCCATTAAGGATTATCAAGGCCCTCTGAAAGAGCATGAGGTGAGGATCTTTGTGAGAAGAGGAGGGCCTAACTACCAGGAAGGCTTGCGTGTCATGGGGGAAGTAGGTAAGGAGATTCCCAGTCATTTTTCAAACTCTGTTCTCTCCTCCACTTCTCTCAGAGAGTGGCAGCTGGCCGTGTGGCATTCACTGTGGCCTCTGTGGCTTCCCATCTGTCTTCCAGCAGGACTGATGTAAAGAGCTTTCCATTGTGCACCTAGCCCCACCACCCATCTCTAGGTTGCATCCTCACATGTGAGCCCAGATATGGACTTGGATCTCTTAAACTTTTGTGCCATTGTGAACTGCAAGAAATACTGTGTCAGAGTGTTAATCTTGAGTACCTCAGGCAAATGTGAGAAACCAGTTGAAGGGCTTAAGTGGGGACCCACTGCCAAAGCTTTTGTCTCAGACTGGGAAGGAAAGAGGAATGTTGCCTTCCATGTTGTTAAATCATTGAACCCTCCAAAGCTTTCTTGTTTCAAAATATTACCAACTCTTGGTAACCAGGAATTCAGTGCCTGGTTGATTCTCCTTTATCCATCTTCTAGGGCAGTGTTCCCAACCGTGGGCCTCCAGATGTTCTTGGACTTCAACTCCCAGAAATCCTGGCCAGCAGAGGTGGTGGTGAAGGCTTCTGGGAGATGGAGCCCAAGAACATCTGGAGGCCCAAGGTTGGAGACCACTGTTCTAGTGGACAACTTGTTTGTCTATTTGTATCTGGGCCTGGATTTGGGTCTAGGCTCAGCCATCTTGACAAGCTGGACCACAAAGAGAAATGAGAGCATCTCCGATCAAGGTATGTTAGGGCACTGGTTCTTAACCTTTGTTACTCAGATGTTTTTGGACTGCAACTCCCAGAAGCCTTCACCATCAGCTCTGCTGGCTGAGGTTTCTGGGAGTTGCAGTTCAAAAACACCTGAGTAACAAAGGTTAAGAACCACTGTGTTAGGGTATATCATGGTGAGTCTGTTTCGCAACACTTTAGGTAGAGAATTCCCACAATAAGAGAAGAAAGGTTGAGTACAGGACTACACAACACAAAAACCATTTTGGGTGATAGATTACAACTAATCACCTCCATAACCCATTTGGATATCTTTGAACAGAATGATGATCTTCTTCCCAGGCCTTGTTACATCTATATCACAGGTACCCAGACTTTTTTACATTATGCCCCCATTTTAATTTTTGAGAAAGTCTTCTGCCTTCCCATCTGTCCTTTACCATCATCCAGCCTCCTTTTAACAACACATTTCTTTTGTAATTTAAAATTAGGAGTAAATGTAAATACTTAGTAAATTCTTTTAAAGTAATAATTGCATGCTCTCAAGTCGATTCTAACTTATAACAATCCTTTCCAGGGTTTTTGAGGTATAGAGTACTCAGAAGTGGTTTACCATTGCCTTTCTCTGGGTTTGCTGTGGGACTCCATAGCTGCCCAAGGCTATACAGTGGGGCTGCGCTTGACGATTACCTCATTAGATGAGGAAATCGCTTAACGATGAGTATTTTGTGTTCGCTATAGCGATCGCAAAACAATGTTTTAATAGGAAAAAAATCACTTCACAACGATCGGTTCCCTGCTTCAGGAACTGATTCTTTGCTTTACGACATCAAAACAGCTGATCGTCAGGTTTCAAAATGGCCGCCCGCTGTGTTTAGGAAGGCTTTTTCGCAAGACAGGCACCAGAAAATGGCTGCCCTATGGAGGATCTTCACTGGACGCTTTGGTATTTCGCCCACTGAACCAGTTTTCAACGCATTTCAATGGGTTTTTTTTACTTTCGCTTAACGATGATTTTGTTCTACAGCGATTTTGCTGGAATGGATTATCCTTGTCAAGCAAGGCACCACTGTACAGGCTGGCTCTTCTCCCAGCAGGCACAATGTGGGATTGAATTATCAACCTCTCTCTCTGGGCAACTGCCTGAGCCATTCGGCCAGCTATGTTAATTTTTCCATTGATCACACAATGTAATAAGAAATGTGAATCAGCAGAGAGTCCTTGCACCCTTCAATGTGTAGTTTCCCCCCTCCAGCAAGAAGGCTTCTTCTTTTAAAAATAGAGAATCTTTTGCATCAATGCAGAGGTGTGATTACTTGAATTGATGCAGAAAGGGAAGATGAGCTGGTGCAGAAGTGTGAATTGATGCAGAAAGGGAAGATGAGCTGAGTGCATACGCGCACATGCAGACACACACACACACACACACAACGCACATGCAGACACACACACACACAAAACAAAGCTGTGCTTTGATGAAGCACCTTTGCCCTCACCTCTTTCCTTGTGAGGGAGGATCTGTGCTTTGATGAAGTACCTTCGCCCTCACCTCTTTCCTTGTGAGGGAGGATGAGACATAAACAGACAAAAGCAGTGCAAGAACATATTAATAGGGAGCAAAGTCTCTTTTACAGGACACTTTTTTTTCATAGCCCTCCTTTGTGGGCAAGACTTCTGGGTTTTGTTTTTGTTTTACAGCTTTAAAAAGGAGCTTGTTTCTGTGGTGAGGGTTTTTTAAGGTAACGTAACTAGATTGAGGTAGGAAGTCCTTTTTACTGCTTGTTAGGTAGTTCTTTGTTAATGGCACCACCTGCAGGGCTATAAATAGAAGTGCAAGCAAACAGGGGAAAAAAGGTTTTTCTCCTTTTTTCTGTGTGACCATTTAAACTGCACAGACCTGGATTTCCTGATGCAACTTCACCATGAGTGAATGCGATTAAATTTGCATTTTCCTTGTTGTGTAGTGGCACCCTCAAACACAACCTTGAGATTTCTTAATTCCCCCAGTGGTCAAGATTGTGTTGCATGTATGGTGTGGAAGAAACGTCTGATAGCAGACTGATCAGTTAAAATGATGGAGAATGTTTGCTTGTCTATTGAGCAAAGCCAGGGTGGATGATATCATTAGTCTGCATCAATGTCATATGAAACACTATTTCCCCATCAGATTTTCATACTGAGCCTGATATGCTTCTGCTTTTCTTTTGCATATAGGAAAAACTACTGGCATTCCCATTCACGTTTTTGGTACAGAGACCCACATGACTGCCATTGTTGGCATGGCTCTGGGACACCGGCCAATCCCAAACCAGCCTCCTACTGCAGCCCACACAGCAAACTTTCTCCTTAACGCCAGTGGTAGCTCCTCGGTAAGTCCCAATGGAAGCTTTTAATGCAATGTTAGCCTTCCTTGTAGAGGATGCCAAGGAGAAGAATCCTGGCCTAATAGTTTTTTCAAACATGATTAATGTTCCATACTTCAAGGACAGAATGCACAATTTGCATGCAGAAGGTCCCTCTGGCAAGGGCGAGGAAAATTCCCATCTGAAACCCCTTAAGAGTATCACCAGCTAGTGCCAGCTCATGGTCTGACTCTGTATAAGACAGCTTTCTGTGCTATCACGTGGAAGATTTTGCCCTCGTGTGATCTTTTTGTCTGTAGTCTGAAAGGATACAACCCCAAAATTATGACAACTTTTAGGAAAACAAAAACTTTGGTTTGTAGGAGAGAAAGGGGAGCCAGTGACTCTGGACCTTTGGTGCTCTGCATAACTGGCTTCTACATTCTCATTACAAAGTCAAGCAGAATAAGCAAATACGTGTAGAATTGCTTAACCCACATTTATTTATTTATCTATTTGAAATATTTTTTTTATCCCACCTTTCTCCTTAAAAAGGACCCAAGGTGGCTTAAATAATTGAAAGCACAATATTAAAAGCTAGAACAGTAAATTCTTCAAACATTTTAAACGAATTAATAGCATTATATTTAAAATGTTAGCTTAAAAGCATTCCTAAAACCATTGCCCTATTGCTTGCAAATGTTAAAGTTTTAAAAGCACGCCTGGCCTTGGTATAGCTTTTTTGAATTTGCAAAGGCTGTGAGCAGTGCAATAGTGTGGCATTTGCTCCTAGGCAATGTGAATATGCCAGTAGAATTCTGACCAGCCTTGGAAGGGTACAAATGAACACAATCCTGCAGCAAACTGACCCCGGTGCTGTGCCAGTGGGTTCCGAACTCCATTCTGTGGTCTCTCTGTTCCCCTTCAGACGCCAGCACCGAGCAGGACGGCGTCTTTTTCCGAGTGTCGACCAGATGATCTGGCTCCGGCTAAGAAGGCAAAGCAGGCAGCACCCACAGGTAAGCTCCTGTTTTTCTGACCATTTTGATGGTCTTGCAGTGCTGCTTTTTCACTCCTGCAAATTCTCCCTTTGCAGTTGTTGCTGGAGCACTTGTTTTCCCGGTTCCGACCCTCTTCCTTGCACCCTCTTCCCCAACCCCTTCAGGTGAAGTAGGCAAATGAAGATCCCTGCCTGCTCTTGTGTTCTTCCCTTCCTGCTGCCAAAGTCTTGAGGAAATTTTGCACTGCCTCAAAAAGACAGACGTGTACTGTTTTCGAAGAATCCTTTCCAAACCACTTGCATGTGCCATGGAAACCCTGTATGTTATAGATTTTATAGTTTTGACAAGCATTCTTTAGCATCTTCTCAGCTTGCACAGTGGGCTGGCCCAGATCAATTGCACCTTTCTTCACCCTGTGCACACTGAGGAGACATCCTTGCATTCCGTGTTTCTTCAGTATTGAATGTAACAATGACTCGGGGAAGACTTCTTCCTATCTCAGCCCCGTCGTTCACTGAAGTAAGCATGCCTCATCTTGCACTTCGCTGTGCCCTTTTAGCCTGTTGCTTGATGTCTAAGATATCCAGATTGAGGCATGGCTTGCCACTTGCGTGGCTGTCATAGCACTTCTGGCGGCTGGAGTTCTAAACATTTTGTCCTAGGTAGAAACTGCCTCTAGTTATCCCTGCTGCAGGATCCTGACCCTTCCTTAAACCTTATGCTCTCCTCACACCACGAGCCTTCCATGTTTAGGGCTGTGGGATATCCCACAGTGTAATAACCCCAATTTATTAGTATTTTGAAAAGGGAGGTCATTGTGGAACAAGCTGTCCATGACGGATCAGCAAAGAGAGTTGGGTGTGCTGGTGGACCATTCGATGAAAGTGTTAACCCAGTGTGCGGCGGCAGTGAAGAAGGCCAGTTCCATGCTAGGTATCATTAAAAAGGGGATTGAAAATAAAACAGCCATCATTATAATGCCATTGTACAAAACGCTTTTAAGTCTGCACCTGAAGTATTGTATACAGTTCTGGTCACCACACCTCAAAAAAGACATAGTGAAACTGGAAAAGGTGCAGAAGAGAGTGACTAAAATGATGACTAGGCTGGGGCACATCCCTTATGAGGAAAGGCTACAACATTTGTGGTTCTTTAGTCTAGAGGAAAGGCAGCTGAGGGGGGACATGATTAAGACATATAAATTGATGCAGGGGATGGATAAAGTGGATAGAGGGAAGTACTTTCCCTCTCATGCAATACCAGAACCAGGGGACAGCCACTCAGATTGAGTGTTGGGAGAGTGAAAACAGACAAAATAAAGTATTTCTTTACCCAGTGTGTTTTTAGTCTGTGGAACTCCTTGCCACAGGATGTGGTGATGGCATCTGGCCTAGATGCCTTTAAAAGGGGATTGAACAGATTTCTGGAGGAAAAGTCCATTGCATGTTACAAGCCATTATGGGGATGTGTAATATCCAGGCTTAAAAGGAAGGTATATCAAAATGCCAGATGCAGAGGAGTAGTATCAGGAGACAGGTATCTAGTTGTCTCATGTGCTCTCAGAGGCATCTGGTTGGGCCGCTGTGAGATACAAGGAGCTGGACTAGATGGACCCTTGGCCTGATCCAGCAGGACTCTTCTTATGTTCTTATGTAATGTGAGCCAAGCCCCCAAGTTGGGCAGACATGTTGGATTTCTTGCAATGGTGATTCTCTTTTTAACAGATGCCTCCCCATCTTCGAGACCTGTTCAAGGTAGGACCCCACCACTAGCTAAGTGTGCCCAGCTTTGCTATCAGCTGCTTATATCCTTCTTTTTAATGGGTGTTCTTTGTGTTTGGGGGTTTGTTTTGGGGTTTTCTTTTTTGGTTGGCTCGTTTGTTTCTGCTCTTTAACTCTTTTTGCACAAAAACCCCGCAGTGTTGCTTGGTTTATCCCCTTCCCCTTGTCTCCCAGTTATGTGGCTTTTTAAGGTACCCCTCTTCTCTTTGCCCAATCTATCTGTTTTCTTTGAAAATGTAAATATGACAGTAAAAGGCCTGCCCCACTAGCAACAATTGCCTCCAATGCCTTTGCCATTTCTCCCTGATCCCAGAGTGATACGCTTCCCTCACAATCTTTATTGACACTCAGGGTATTAGACAGAGTTTGTTGCCACTCTGCTAGGCATTCAGTGCTTTCACCATGCAAAAGCAGGAATAATAATAATAATAATAATAATAATAATAATAATAATAATAATAATAATAATAATAATAATAATAATAATAATAATGGTAAGCTCCA